GAACAGCTCATCCGGGCCACGTGCGACGACCCTACCATGTGGGAACAGCAACTGCCACTCATCGAATTCGCATACAACAACTTGCCATCCGCCACGACCCAACAGTCACCGTTTTATCTGAACTACGGACAAGACCCCACAATACCCATGACCCCGAATCCCGACAACCCAGTCCCACGCGCGCAACAGTTCGCAGAAATACTGCAAGCAGCACGGACCCGAGCAGCCGAAGCAATAAAAAAATCAAACATCATCGCTAAACGCAATGCTGACCACCACCGCCGACCTGTCACTTACCAGCCAGACGACCTAGTTCTACTCGACACTCAAAACCTCCGCCTGCCCATCACCCCAAAACTCCGCCCCCGATATTGCGGGCTATTTCGCATCAGCCACATGATCACAGCCGTCACCGCTCATCTCCTCCTCCCTGCTGACTGGTACGTCAGCCCGTCATTCCACGTCAGCCTGCTTCGCCCATACGTGCCATCCACCAGCCAACTGCCTCGCAACCGCCCCGCCAGCATGACACGACCGCCGACTGAGCCAATCATCACGCCTGAGAAAATATTGAGCCATCGGGTACGTGACCCACGGGGAGCCCGCAGAATCGAATTCCTGATCCGCTGGAAAGACCGCACGCCCACCGAAGACAACTGGGTCCCCTTGGATAGAATTGAGAATCACCCAGGCCTCGTGATATAAGGGTGAATCACCCTTATGACCCTTACTATAAGGGTATGTTCTGATTCGGACCCTTACTTTACAAAGTGGATTTTTTTATGACACTTACAGGAAAAAAGTGAATATGTTTAGGACCCTGATATTTCAGAGTGAAGTGTAGTCTCACTGATCGGGAACATACATCCTCCTCAAAAAGTAGGGAATGAGCTCGAAGTACCGAGTTCCATGGATAACATGCCCACCAATACCTCCCACAAGTATCGATCCCGCATCCCTTCCACTGCAAGACCCACTATGCTAAGTTGTCAAGCTAATAATCAACTAGTTATAATATTAACAGTTCTAGTTTGGTTTAAACCCTTACAAAAAATAGTCGTGCTTGCCTGGTACCCTTACAGAAAGAGTGAAAGCAGCTGTTTACCCTTATGAGAAAGACTAGTTCAAATCCTATCCAGAGGCCTGGAATCGCCCTATCCTCACTGAGTATCTGTGCAGCCGAAACTTCCGAGATGTACACGCGCTCTCGTAAGAGGGGCCTCCTTGGGGAGGGGGGTAGTGTAAGGAAAATTCCTTTTCCTTACTTCGCGTCCCTGATTACCGCGTACATGCCCGTTCCCGCCATCGGCACCCATCCGTGAACGTTACCCGCTCGCGACATTCGCCTCGACCACGACTCCCGCCACTGTTCAGAATGCGACCCAACCTCACGGTTCGGTTGGTAACCCGCGCTCCGGACCTCCGCCTCGACAATTCCCAACCTCGGCGCTGTTGGAAACAATCGATCTTAAGCGCCTCTGTCGTGTCGAAACACCAAGACACAAGCGAAGCAAAGCATATCGAGGCACCAGCGAGTCAACCCTCGGAGGTTGAAGTAACCGCTGGAGGTTACGCGAAAGTCAAAGGTCAGCGACCTTTGACCTGACAAATACAGCGCGACAGCAAGGACACACAACTGACTCACTACAGAGCAGTTGCCCGAGTCGTCACTGTATCGAACCGCAACAGCAACAGTAAAACAGTTATAACCGTATCCCTTCATATTCCTTGTACTCTTATATAATCTTGTATCTCTTTGTCTTAATCAATCGACTTTGCCCTCACATACTAGCGCAAGGTGGATCAAGCACTTCTCATTAAAAGCTTCTGCTAATTACAACAAGTCCTACCTAGAGTTCACTCCTGCAAAGATCCTAAGGGCTTTTTCTCAGCCCAACAGGCGCTAGGCCCGTAGCGCACCCCAATTTCCCACATTACCGTTACCACACTAGCTTCGCTATATAACTTCGCTCATGCTTTTCGCTCAACTGTATTGATTGATTCGATAGTGCAATTCTCACTCGCTCGTTCAATTGCACTTGTAACAAAATGTGATGTTGCTGTTGTACAAAAGTTTATGCGTAACATGTACTATTGTAGCTCTATTTCAAACACTTCATCCCCAGTTTTGTTGACATTATTGGTGCTCCGAGCGACCAATAATTGTGGTCACACCGGACCTCCCTTCCATCACCCGACATCGTTGATTTCGTTCGTAGGTCGTTTGAGCGGAAGCTCAGAGGAACGCGCAAAGTACTTCGAACCAATTCGAACGGCACATTTGTTGTTAGTATCAGTTTGTACAAACATGAATCTCTCAAGGACCTAAACAGAAAGAGGAAAAGGAGGGAAAGAAAGACTCAACAAGGAGAAGGGAAATGAAGAAAGAAAGGGAGAAGGAAAGTGAAACTGCCACAAAGAAACCAAACGCAACACACATAAAACCCCCCCTCAAGATACCCAATCAAAACCCCCAATCAAGACACCCCATCAAGACGTCCCATCCCACACCCCATTCCCCCCCCCCCCCCCCCCCCAATCACAACAGAGTATCCACCATGTACGGGGCCTCCACCCAAAGAGCCCCGCCTTCCACATCGACATCGTCCCTCTCCCGATCGACCAAGTCTACGTTAATTCCCCCCATGGAAGACGCCGCCCGCAACAGGATGACTCGGGCCTGCGCACGTTGTAACGCCACCCCGATGAGCGCCTTCAGTGACCCTAAAAGATAAGCCGAAAACACAGAGTCGTCCTCCCGACAAGCCCCCCGCGACACAGCTAACCCCATGTGCGCATCCCCCTGCTGACGAAGCCACCGCCGAAAACGACCGCCGAGACACCCCCACGTCTCTACTATCAGAGGGGTGAACTGCACGCCCCGGTTGCGTGCAAGCAGAGGCGCGTAATCATTCGTTTTGCGACGCTCCCACTCTCTTGCCGCCACACCTATTTGACGCCCGCACTGTCCTAGCAGGGTTGGAGACAGCGATAGCGGGTCCGCGACACTGATCTCTAGGGCGTGAGCCTCTCCAGCCATTGGTCGTCGCACCGCCACATCAACCCGCTTCCCCTGCAGCACCACACTATCCTCCATTGTCACCACCCCCCCCGACGCCTTAGAAATCTTCGCCACCGCAAACTTCACCTCATCATGCACCCGAGATGGACCATGCTGGTGCTTGCATCTCAGGGCATGATGCGGGTCTGCTGGGTCACCATACACTGTACCACAAACACACCTCCCCGCCACCTGCAGCTGCTGAATTGGGAGCCCGAGCCGTATAGCAGAAGCAATGCCCCACTTGGCCGCAGTGAATGTGAGATCTGAGTGAGCCGGAACCGCCGAGACCCATGCACCCGCCCCCGGGCCCTGAAGGGATGTGAAACAGGCCAAGGTAGCATCGTCACGAGCCAAACGTCGCAGTGCCTGGAGCTCCTCTACAGCTAATTGCCGCTGCCGCGCCTGGAAAAGCCGAACAGGAGGGGCCGCTACACACAGAGGTAAGCCCGGTATCTCCTGGCGGATAGTCGCTGGCAGCTGCTCAAGAGCCTTGGCAAACCACGGGTCAAGAAACTCTGCCCCTGTCGAAGTGGTGAGGTACTCTGCAAACATCGCCTCCTCGCCCGCCACCCCTAACTGTGCAATGTCACGCGCGGCCTGCGCCCACCCACAGACATAGGACAATGGGCTCAAAGAGGCCGCCGCCCGGATCCCGAACCCTCCGAGTCGCACAGGGAGATGCAGCTGCATGCGTGCGCGCCTAGACCGGTCGGGGTCCTGCTCCCAAGTGCCAGGTGGGAAAAGCTGCTCGAAACAATCCTCTAAACAGCTGTCCCAATCCCTAAAAGCCTCAACCACCTCCGGGCGCGGCGGCATAGTCCGGGCGAGGTACATCGGCCGCGCTGAAACTGCAATGGCGAGGAGGTGTGAAGCCATCTGGGGGTGGTCGAGCAAGGGGAGCCATGGCAGTGGCGCCTGCAACTGTCGAAGCCGCTCCCGTAGCCGGACCACCTCCCAAACCTCCTCCCCAATAGGCACGCCCACCACAGTAAGACCCTCATCCACCCGCTGCGTCCCCAATGGCAGTGCCCGCTCCACCTCCCCGCCCTCGCGCTCCCAAAACCGGCACTTGTGCGCCTGCACCTCCAGCCCCACCCACTCCAACCGCTCCCGCAGCACCCCAAAAGCCTCCAAAATCCTAGCCGCTGGCCCCAAAATATAGGTATCGTCTGCATAGCTGAGAAAAAGCAGGTCCCCGAACTCCCTAGTAACCGGCTCCATCACCAGCTGCTGCGTGAACGCGAAAAGAAAAGGGCCGAGCGGGTCCCCCTGCCTCGATCCCCGTGCCGACTCGAGACTCTGTACGAAAGGGCCTGCTCGGAGGTACAGGTCGCTGGGTGTCCCATAGAAAACACGCAAGAATGGGATCATCCCTGAGAAAGGCGACTCCCGCAGCCCATCGAACATCGCATGACGGTGAAACGAATTGAAGGCGTTTGCGACGTCTATCTGTAGCGCACACCAGTCGGGGTGAGTGGCCAGCGCTGACCGGAAAGAATGAGTGAGAATCTCCGCCCCGACCCTGGTGCCCGCTCCCAGCTGGTTGCACGGCAGGAAGTAGGAAACCATCGCAGGGCGGAGCGAGATGCACAGAGCTCGAGCAAGGATACGAGGAAGCACTTCCCCGATCGCCACCGGCCGGACGTCGCCGTTAGGTTTGGAAAGCCCGACTAGGTTAGATGCGGCAAGCCACGGCCGAGCTCGCTCGGGGACCTGTCCCGCCACCCATTGGTTGAACACTTCCAGCAGGTGGGAAAGGCACGCAGGTTCAGTGAGGAAGGTGTCGCGCAGATGCTCTGTGACCCACCTCGATGGCCCTGCTGCTGAAGCTCGAGCGGCTGTATGGATAGCTCTGGCCAGGATGTCGGTCGTGAGTGAAGGCCGCTGAGCAGTATCGACGGTGAAATCGCGGACCCACTGTGGTACCTCGCCAGTACTAGCCGGGTGCTTCTCTCGCAGCGACTGCACCATGGCCTCAGACGGTCGAGCCAACTCCCCTGCTGTAAGGCAGGCCAAACCACGGCTCCACTCCCCCACTTTGCACCGAGATCGACACCGTGATAGGCGGATGGCGTCCGGGTCCTCGTCAGAGCAAGTGTAGGAAAGTGGGCGAACTGCTGGCTGCGCTGCCACCATGGCAGAGTCGAATAGCTCCCGCCACCTCCCCTCCCAGAACGCACCCAGCCGCTCTGTGATCTGCGCCTTCTGACCTATGCCTGGCTTGGGAGGCACGGCCAGGATGAGGCGCGGAAACGCCAAGAGTAGGAGGGTAGCGGCTTCATCCCCCGGTTGGCTCTTCAAGCGCTTTAGGATGCAACAGAGCGCGTCTAAAGCCCCCGACCTGGCCCGCTGTGGAATCCGGCGCACTGTCCTCCCTCCAACCGCCTCCACACTGAAAAATGTTTCCCATTCCCATGACGTGACCCCAGCCCACGCCTCGTCCCCAAACTCCCGCGGCGCCGGTCGCTCCTGCGTGTCGGTCTCCACCAGAGACGGAATCGAGCCGAGAGCCTGTGCACGCCTCTCCGCCTCAGCCGCCCGGCATACCCTCATGTGGTTCGCAGCGGCCCCTCGCGTAGCGAAAGTATGGAAACACGTGTCACACGGAAAACGGGGGCATGGGGAAGGCGGCCTGGGAGATTCGCCGTCCGCCTCGGACTCCTCCGCAGTCGCCATGGGGGTATCAAACTCCAAAAGTCGACACCACTCCTCCAACTGCTGCTCCTGGTCGTCCATCGATCGCCCCCCTGCTTGCTGCGTCCCTTGGGGTGCCCAGGGCACCCTCGGCTGCCCCCCTGGCTGTCGCGCTCCCTGGGGTGCCCCGGTCACCTCCGGCTGCCCCCCTGCCTGCTGCTCTCCCTGGAGTGCCCCGGGCACCCTCGCCCTCCTGCCTCCTGCGCTCCCTGGGGTTTCCCGGGCACCCTCGGCTGCCCTCCTGCCTGCTGCACTCCCTGGGTTGCCCAAGGCACCCTCGGCTTCCCTCCTGCCTGCTGCGCTCCCTGGGGTTCCCCGGGCACCCTCGGCTGCCCTCCTGCCTGCTGCACTCCCTGGGGTGCCCCGGGCACCTCCGGCTGCTCCCCTGCCTGCTGCTCGCCCTGGGGTGCTCGGGTCACCCCCGGCTGCCCCCCTAGCTGCTGCTCTCCCTGGGGTGCCCTGGGCACCTCCGGCTGCCCTCCTGCCTGGTGCTCTCCCTGGGGTGCACCGGGCACCCTCGGCTGCCCTCCTGCCTGCTGCTCTCCCTGGGGTGCCCCGGGCACCCTCGGCTGCCCTCCTGCCTGCTGCACTCCCTGGGGTGCTCCGGGCACCTCCGGCTGCTCCCCTGCCTGCTGCTCGCCCTGGGGTGCTCGGGTCACCCCCGGCTGCCCCCCTAGCTGCTGCTCTCCCTGGGTTGCCCCAGACACCCTCGGCTGTCCTCCTGCCTGCTGCACTCCCTGGGGTGCCCCGGGCACCCTCGGCTGCCCCCCTGCCTGCTGCACTCCCTGGGGTGCCCCGGGCACCCTCGGCTGCCCTCCTGCCTGCTGCACTCCCTGGGGTGCTCCGGCCCCCCCCGGCTGCCCTCCTGCCTGCTGCTCTCCCTGGGGTGCCCCGGGCACCCCCGGCTGCCCTCCTGCCTGCTGCTCTCCCTGGGGTGCTCCGGGCACCCTCGGCTGCCCTCCTGTCTGCTGCTCTCCCTGGGGTGCCCCAGACACCCTCGGCTGCCCTCCTGCCTGCTGCACTCCCTGGGGTGCCCCGGGCACCCTCGGCTGCCCCCCTGCCTGCTGCACTCCCTGGGGTGCCCCGGGCACCCTCGGCTGCCCTCCTGCCTGCTGCACTCCCTGGGGTGCCCCGGGCACCCTCGGCTGCCCTCCTGTCTGCTGCTCTCCCTGGGGTGCCCCAGACACCCCCGGCTGTCCTCCTGCCTGCTGCACTCCCTGGGGTGCCCCGGGCACCCTCGGCTGCCCCCCTGCCTGCTGCACTCCCTGGGGTGCCCCGGGCACCCTCGGCTGCCCTCCTGCCTGCTGCACTCCCTGGGGTGCCCCGGGCCCCCCCGGCTGCCCTCCTGCCTGCTGCTCTCCCTGGGGTGCCCCGGGCACCCCCGGCTGCCCTCCTGCCTGCTGCTCTCCCTGGGGTGCTCCGGGCACCCTCGGCTGCCCTCCTGTCTGCTGCTCTCCCTGGGGTGCCCCAGACACCCTCGGCTGCCCTCCTGCCTGCTGCACTCCCTGGGGTGCCCCGGGCAACCTCGGCTGCCCCCCTGCCTGCTGCACTCCCTGGGGTGCCCCGGGCACCCTCGGCTGCCCCCCCACCCGCGGAGCTCCCTGGGGTGTCTCAGTCGCCCCCGGCTGCCCCTCCGCCTGCTGTGCGGCAGCACCGCTTCCAGTCCGTCCTTGCGTCTTACGGGCGTGTCGTCTCCCGCCTCGGCCCCGTGCCCGGGTTCTCTTCGCTTGGCTTGTAGAGTCCGCACTAGCGACCTCCAGCTGCCCCCGCGCCGACGGCTCCCGCCGCTCCCCCTCAAACAGCTCCTGCTGCCCTCCCCCCGATAGCTCCAGCTGCCCTCCTGTTGGCAGCTCCTGCCGCTCTTCCGCCGGCAGCGCCTGCTGCCCTCCTGCCTGCAGCCGGGCCTGGTTCCCGGATTGGTCCTGCTGCACCTCCGGCTGTAGCTCGGTCATCTCCACGTCTACCGCTTGCTGTTCCCTTGCCGGCAGCTGCCCCTCCCCCGACAGCTCTAGCTGCCCTCCTGTTGGCAGCTCATGCCGCTCTTCCCCCGGCAGCTCCTGCCGCCCTTCTGCTTGTGACCGGGCCTGGGTCCCCGATTGGTCATGCTGCACCTCTGGCTGTAGCCCAGCCATCTCCACTTCTACCGCTTGCTGCTCCCTTGCCGGCAGCTCATGCTGCTCTCCCCCGGGCGGCTCCTGCTGCCCTACTGCATGTGGCTGGGCCTGGTTCCCCGATTGGTCCTGCTGCGCCTCTGGCTGTAGCTCGGCCATCTCCACTTCTACCACTTGCTGCCCTCCCGCTGGCAGCTCCCGCTGCCCTCCTGCCTGCAGCTCCTGCTGCCCTCCCGCCGGCCGCTCCTGCTGCTCTCCCGTCAGCTGTACCTGCTGCTCGGCCGCCGACCGCGCCTGCCGCCCTCTCGCCGGCAGCTCCTGCTCCCCTCTCGCTGGCAGCTCCTGCTCCCCTCTCGCTGGCGGCTCCTGCTCCTCTCTCGCCGGCAGCTCCTGTTCCCCTCTCGCAGGCAGCTCCTGCTGCCCTCCCGCCGGCAGCACCTGCTGCCCCCTTGCTTGTGACTTCCGGGCCTCTCCCAACAGCCAGTTCTGTTGCCCCCCCTCCTGCCACGAGGACTGGCTCCCCGCTGGACTCCACTGCTGCACTTCCACCCGAGCTCTCCGTCTCTGTTCCTGCCTTTGGGCCAAGCGAGGCCCGCGCGGAGCTGTGAGGGCTGGGCGTGCCAAGGGATTTCCCAGGGCCGTCCGCCGCCTATCATGAGACTCCTGCAGTCGCCGGCGGTGTGCCTCCCATGCAGCCATCGCCGCGTCATCACCGGTACCTTGCCTGTGCCCCCCATGACCGCACTCGCCCTCGTCCGTCACGTCCAGGTCCCGGCTGAAGATGGTGTCGCTGCCGCCTACGAAGCCGCCGAGAGTTTCTTTGGGTGGTTCCTCCGTCCCCCCCTCCGTCGAGACGGGTCCATACCGTTGCCGTTTGCTGGGCTTGCCAAAAAGGCAGAGTGCATCCTCATGGTGGGGGCGACAGAGTCGTGGGTATTGCATGCTCAGCGCTGTCTCTCTGGGCCTCTTGTGGCCAGACGCACAGGGGATCCTCCTCCCTCGGTCTGGGGGGTCAGGGTCGTCGTTCATGGCGTAAGCCGTTTGCGGCGAGGACCTCACTAGCGCATGGGGACTCCTCTACCCGTGTGGACGCTCTTACCCGCGGGTGTTGCTGCCTAGGCACGTATTTTGCCGTGTGGACCCTCCTACGCGCAGTTGTCGCTGCTTGGGCGCGGATCTCGCTGCTACGGCACGGATTTCGCTGCTACGGCGCAGATTTCGCTACCTGGGCGCGGCTTGTGCTGCTACCGAACGGACGTCACTGCTACAGCGTGGATTTTGATGAGTAGGCGCGGATCTCGCTGCTACAGCGTGGGTTTCGCTGCCACGGCGCGGAGTTCGCTGCTACGGCGCGGATGTCGCTGCTACGGCGCGGATTTCGCTGCTACGGCGCGGATGTCGCTGCTACGGCGCGGATTTCGCTGCTACGGCGCGGATTTCGCTTCTGCGGCGCGGATTTCGCTGCCTAGGCGCGGATTTCGCTGCTACGGCGCGGATTTCGCTGCCACGGCTCCAGATTTCGCAGCTACAACGCGGATTTCGCTGCTACGGCGCGGATTTCGCCGCCTAGGCGCGGATTTCGCTGCTACGGCGCGGATTTCGCTGCCACGGCTCCAGATTTCGTAGCTACAACGCGGATCTCGCTCCTACGGCGCGGGTTTCGCTGCTGTGGGGCGGACTCCGCTGCCTAGCTTCGCGCTGCTACCTGTAGTTCCCGGGTTGGGCGGCCAAATCGCGGGTTGGTCAGCAAGGTCGCACCTTTGCGGCTAGGTCGCGGGCGGGGCGGCTAAATCACGGGCTGAGCGGCTAAGACGTGGGCTGGGCGGCAAGATCGCGGCCCAAGCACGTAGATCGCGGCCTGGGCGGCTAGATCGCGGGTCCCGCGGCGAAATCGCGGTCTGGGCGGCTGGATCGCGAGGTTCTAGCGAGAAGCGCGCTGCTGCACATTACTGAAGCAGAGCAGTACTAGTGTTAGACACTGGTTCGTAGCGGAGATGGCTAACGATTTGGTAAAATAAATTGATGCAAACTTCGAACCAATGGTCAGTGAGGGTGTGCGACACGCTAACTTCGAGGGTATGCAAGCGGCACAAGCTGCCCAACACACTGTGAATTGCCGTCGCCTGCCCGAGTCAGACTTTCCACACCTGTGCTGTAGTTCGGGTTTGCTCCCTTTTGAAATTCAGGTCTGCCCCTACAGAAAGCCTTGGGTCACCTCATGGAACGACCTCGACTTCCAAGCTGCCCTCGCGATTCGGAACGACGTCGGACGCAATTTCGACGACGTCGAATTCGCCCCGTGTTTCCGAATTCGTTCCCCCCACCACATTCCTCCCGTCTACCCTCCCTCCTTTCCTCCCTCCCTCTCAAGTTCCTCACATGACGAACGCGATCACTGAGTGGAGTATTCTATTACCATTGGCACACGGTTCTCCCTCCCTCGCCTCACAGCTCATTCATTTCCATTTTGATTGAACTGCGAATAAACGAGAGCCGAAATCCACAACTGCTTACTTTAGACTCAACTGAGCCCATTGTGTTCATCCACTTCGTCACGCGAGTGTTAGATTCCCCGAGCTTGTACAAATTCCACGAGTAAGTCGCACAAGGAGCACCACCCCGCACTCAATCGTCGCGCTTCACTCACTCACTACTACTGACGCACTGCAGAATGCCCATCAACTATGCTGTATCGTACAGGCGAGAAGACCTTGCCATACTCTGCTAACCTATAGATATTATTTTCTTTGCGAAAGCCCTTCCCAAGTCCCCCTGATTAGAGTTACAACTGCCCAACTCCCCTGCTTCATTATCTAAGCAAACTAAGCCCGTGAGAAAACAGCCTGTAAAAACCTGCCACGCAGCAGCCAGAAAATCCGCGCAGTCGGCGGCGACAACCTCGGATAACCAGCTAGTGCACATACCCGCAACCCCTCGCACCCAACGACTGCTCTCGCCTAAACCGGTCCAGACGGACAACGAGCTCACCAACCGACGTGCGACTCGAACAACCAACCGCCATGAACAACCTTTGGACCCAAACATGGGACGTGTCTCGAAGCTTCGCGCCTCCACCCAGGCCCGGGGGCGCGGGAGGAGCAGGAGCATCAGCTGTCGCGCCGGCAGGCCCGAATTTCACGGCGTTCAACGCGGAGGTGGCGGCGATTGAGGAGGAGATCAAGAAGGCGAACAATGATGTCAGCGATGTGCGGAACGCGCACAACCTCACGTTACAGGAGGCGCGCGTGGAGAAGCTCGAGGAGCTCCGGAAAGACGCGGCGCGGTCGTCCATGCAGGCCAAGAATCGCACCAAGAAGATTAAGAAGATGCTGGAGGAGCTGAAGCTGAACAACGAGGCGAATCGCATGCGACCCGGAAGCGGTCCGGGAACCGCGGAGGATCGTCACCGGACGAACATTACCGTTGGATTGGCGGAGCGCCTGCGCGGGCTGCACCGGCTGGTGCTTGTGGTCGAAGAGGAGATTCAGAACGAAAGCCGGAAGAAATTACAGCGACATTTGTTCATGGTGACGGGGAAACCAGCGACCGACGAGATGCTGGATGAGATTATCGAGCACGGGCAGAGCGAAGATGTGCTGAAAAGGGCTGTGCAGATGCAAGGCCGCGATGCGCAAATCAACGAAGACCAGCTGCGAGACGCCGTCGTGGATATCGACGAAAAGATGGACGTCGTGTTGGAAGTTACCAAAGGCATGGTGGAGCTACAGAACATGTTTATGGATATGGCGATTATGGTGGAGGAGCAGGGAGCGTATCTGAATCGAATCGATGACGACGTGAACCCAGCAAAATCGCACGTCGAGATTGGGACAAAAGACCTCGAGAAAGCCGAGAAGATTCAGCGCAACACGCGTCACACGTACTGGTTGATCTTCTCCATCGTGCTGATCATCGCCGCAATCATTGTCGCGTCCGTCGCGTCGACTATCGTGTCCGTGGTGTCGGAGAGCTCGCGCAGCGCCGTCATCGGCGTGGTGGTGGTCGCGGAAATTGCGCTTATAGCGGGGGCTGTGCTTATATGCGTCATGACGAAGCCCCTCCAAACGCTCTTCACTTTCAAGTTTTAGAAGAAGACGGTCTCCTCACCACCGGCGTAGATAGCTAGACTTCACGTCTAAATCACAAGCAGCGTCCCCGATGCTGCAATGGTCGCAACGACAGACCTGAAATTGCGGAAATTGCTCCACTGTTGATCGAGAATACTGTGTGCCTTGGGGTCAAGCAGCGTGTGTTCATTTTCTCTTCTTTTCGCCTTTTTTCTTTTATTTTCCTTGTCCATTCTTCCTCCGTTTGTGCCCTTCCGGAATAAATCTCTGCGCTATGTTCGGCACATTAGCGAGTGCACTACATCGCGAAATTCGAGTTGCTTGCCATGTTTTACACATTCCATACACAGAAAATGAGCTGTAGAAAACCCCTAACAGTACAGTCCCCTTTTCTTCTGCAGCATCAGTGACTGGTGGTAATGCATCTTGATCACTTGCACAGGCCCCACAACACAAGCAAGCATCTAGATGATTAATGAATGACACAAGCAAGCATCTAGATGATTAATAAGAGAAAAAACAGTACACTCAGTAACACAAACACTAAACCAAGTACACTCCACACTACATGTACAGATTCCAAGCCTACTCAACACTATAGAATTCTCTGGTCTGTCACCTATTGGAATGGATTGCTACATTCCCCTCCTCCTCCTCTCTTCTTGCACCATTTCCTTGTAAGCCTGCATTGTGAAGAGGGGCCATGCAGGGTTTAGGGCGAGGGAAATGAATGTCGCAAGGAACCAAGTAGCAAGAGCAGGTGATAGAGAGAAAGTGCTTCAGAAGAATGATGAAAAAAATAAAAAAAAACCTTCCCTGAGAAAAGAATGATCAATTGGCATGTATTAAGGGTACATTCGGGCGAAGACATGTCCCTTTAGTGCCTCGTGTGCTGATGGGAAAGCCAGCCATTGGAGGTCTTGTTCGAACAGAAGATGAGGGCTGGGTCACTGGGTGGGTCAAGCTCTTATAACGAAAAGGTGTGTTTGCTTACAGCGGGGTACGCGACGAGGAAGGTGAGCCACCAGACCCCAATAGCAGCGGCGACGATGACCGTGAGGAAGATGAAGTGCAGCACAGCCCATGACATCCCCACCACCATGGCTCCCGTCAGCACTATCGTCCACGGCTGGCACCTGAAAGTGGGTCGAGGGGAGTGGGGGGGAGCGAGCAAGGGGGACAGTGGGAGGGAGGGAAAGGTGCTGTTATTAGTAAACAGGTGGGCTGCGGAGGTCTGATGTCCATCAACTCAGATGTTATTAAGACGGCGAGAAAAACTACAAGAGAATGAGAATGAAAAAGCCTGGTTTAAGCTTGTATGCTAGAACGTATTTAGTGAGCCAGTCTGATCAAAACGGATCTTAAAATCTGAACTTGAGTAAACTAGTTTCGGTTTTTGCAAGCCTTCATCAGTACAAACAAGCCTGAAAGTGGGTCGAGGGGAGTGGGGGGGAGCGAGCAAGGGGGACAGTAGGAGGGAGGGAAAGTGGATCTGCAGAGTCTTTGGAGCCCTGACTGACATCCCCACCCCACCACCATGGCTCCTGTCAGCACTACGGTATCGTCCACTGCTGCTGGCACCTGGACAGGGTTTTGGGAGAAAAGGAGAAGAGCCATGACAGCATTGTCAAGTGTTTCAGATCCACGACAGCCCCACCGCCATGGCTCCCGTTCGCACTAGTGTCCAGTCCAAGGCTCGCACGGTCGCTCGCACCTAGGGTTGAGGTCAGGGAGGACGAAACAAGGCACGAGGGGCAGGAAGGCGTGTTATTGCAAGGGGCGAGGTGGCGAGATTGAGAGGCCATGGCTCCTGTGACGGCGGCTGACGTGGCTTCACCTTCGACTGTAATCTCGTCTTTAGTAGGCTGTAAATTTCACCTTTTTTTCCGCGGGCGTAACTTCAAGAAGGGTATACTAGCCCAGAAAGAGTCTCACCAGAAAGGTTTGCTAGCCCACACATTCTCCTCTAACAGAAACACATCGGCGGAATCCCACCCAGGGGGAAGCTCCTCCGCGCCCATTCCGCGCATCCTCTCCCGCTCATCCAAATCGAACCCCCCCTGTGCCCCGCGCATTCCGCTTCCGCTTCCCCCCCCTCTTCCGCGCCACTGGTCCCACTCATCTTCCCCCACTATCTCCGCCTCCACCGGCTCCGCGCGCTCGCGCGGGTCCGCCTCCCCGTCCCCCTTCCCCCTGGCGCGCGCGCTTCCCCCGCGAGAAGCCGCAGTCGGCCCGTGCGGCGGCGTCCGCAGCAGGCGAGCGCTCCGGGGAGAGAATCGCGCGGAGGGGACGCTTTTGAGGGGGGAATGCGCGGCTAGCAGGGACGAGCGCGGGCATGCCTTGGCGGAAATAAGGGGTGCGCGTGGAGGCGCGCGGGGGGCCGCGAGAACACAGGAGAGGGAGGCGCTGGTGGGTGCAAGCGATAGTAGCTGCACCATGATTGAAGCCTGCGAAACAAAATAAAACTAACTGGTCTCCTCTCTTATACACAAGAGCTGATTTTATAGCAGAATAACCTGCAAACGAAAGGACTGCGCTGGCCCGGGAACGAATGGGATTTTCCGCGAGAGGCGGCGAGTGACACGGCGAGGTATGGAGGAATGTGGACAAGTCGGGCTTGGTTTGGAGCATAAATGAACCGACTGCGAGTGCCGGGAAGTGGGGTTTCGTGCGGTTCTGTGAGGTTCGGTGGGATGACAAGGTGAAGTAGCTGAGCTGGAAAGAGAATTCTCGTTTGAAGTTTCAGCACGAGGTGGAGGTGCGTGAATTTTATTTACACAATCACCCACTCCGCGCGCTACCCCCAACAAATATAAATGTTTTCCTATACACTCTATATCACAGCATTCACTGATATAATATCCGTATACCATTCTAGCATCCGCGACAAACAATAGACGACAATTTCCAACTTGATCAAAGAAAACCAAAATACTGTACCTACCAGCGAGCATATTCGCAAATTTCTTCCTACTAAACATACCATAAATAAGAATCCATGCCCATTGAACACTATCTAGACTCACTGAATTTGTTCCCCCCATCATCAGCTCCATCGAAAGAGAATAGACTAATCACATCCAGTCCACCTGCCTTTATGTGTTCTTACCTTAAAACACCTTCAAATCAGATCCGTCAAATCCATAAATGTTTCCTTAGAGCGATCCTTGCCATTGTATCGTACCCTCCCCTTCTTGTCATGCGCGGATAAGATTCACGCAGCCGTGGGGGGAGCAGGGCCAGAGGAGGAGCCATCAACTTCCTCTGGCTGAAACCTGACTGTCTGCAGCAGGTGCTCTCTCAGCAATGCCAGGTTCTGCTCCTTGATTGCATCATGCATGCTCGAGTGGGAGTAGCGCTGCAACACGAGATTGGGGAAAGGGGGTTTCGGGGGAATTGCAGGGGGGGGGGGGGGGGGGGGGGGGGGGGGTAAGTGGGGGAGCAGCAGGTGGTCTCTCAGGAGTTGCAGATTCTGCTCCTTGATTGCATCATGCATGCTCGAGTGGGAGTAGCGCTGCAACATTCATGGGGATAGGGAGAATGGTGGGAGCAGGGGCAGGTGGGGAAAGGGGGGTTGGAGGGGTTGGGGAGTGGGGAATGCAGCAGGTGCTGTCTCAGCAGCGCCAGGGTCTGCTTATTGATCGCCTCGTGCAGACCGAGTGGGAGTAGCGCTGCAACGAGGAAGAACAAGGGAGGGGGAGCGGTTTCGAAAGGGGGTTTCAGTTTAGGAGGGTGGTTGTGGCGTTGGGAGTGGCAGGTGGGGTTTCAACAGGTGCTCTCTTCCTAATGACAAGTTTGCGTCCTTCATTGCCTCATACAGGCTTGAGTGGGTGGAGGGGAGAGAAGGGGGCGTATGCAATAGGGAAAGGAAGGGTGAGCGTGAGGAGGAGGGGGACAGGGAGGGAGAGGCGGAGGGGGAGGGGGTGGGAGAGGGAGATGGGGTGGGGTGGGGAGACGGGGATGGGGAAGGAACTGGGTGGGGGTTGACAGGGAAGGTTTAGGAGTAGTTAAGGTCAGGCTGTAAGGAACATCTAAATGCTTGACTATAACAGTGTTCATTAGTACCGCCACCAACACTGCAATCAAATACCCGTAAAAAAAAAAAAAAAAAAAAAAAAAAAAAAAAAAAAAAAAAAAAAAAAAAAAAAAAAAACAACAACAACAACAACAACATCACAAACAGAAGCATATGTGGAGGCCTCTCACCTTCTTCCACCGAGTGAAGAGATCCAGCCGTGTGATCATGATCCTCTCCCCTAGCTCCTGCCGCTCCTGCGGTGGGTGGGGAGACCAATGGGATGCATGGTCATGGTGGTGGGGTGGGGACGCACATGGAGTGGTGTGAGTGAGAAGGGGTGCGATCATGAAGAGATCCAGCCGTGTGATCATGATCCTCTCTCCTAGCTCCTGCCGCTCCTGCAGTGAGCAAACCCGTGGGATGCATGGTGGTGGATAGTTTTGCACATGATTCGCTCCCCCCATCCCTGCGGCTCCGGCAGTGATGAGTCCAATGGGATTCATGGTGGTGGATGGATGGATATGCACGTGAAGTGGCATTACAATGGGTGCACGAGTGAGAGTGGGTGCTGTTCACTCATGTGAAATCTTAGAAGTGACTCCGATATTGCTGCACTGCTGCACCAATACGTGTTTTCACGAGTTCTTCCACCTCCCCCCACTGTCCCCACCTCCCCCCACTGTCCCCACCTCCCCCCACTGTCCCCAGCTCCCCCATCGGCCCCAGCTCCCCCATCGCCCCCAGCTCCCCCCATCACCCTTTGATAGAAATGGAACTTAACTGATTGATTGATAAGGAAGGCACGAGGCCTTAAGTACAAACACGGTTGGGTTGAGCAAAGCTAGGGAAAGGATGGGATGGGAATCCTAGCAAATCTCCAATTGGTGAGTTGGCAGATTTGCAGGATTACGAGGGAATCCCAACCAGATAGGGTTGGGATTACAAATCTACACCCAACCTACAAAGTAACCTAACCGATATAGAATATTGTACAAAGTGTTGACTGACTATTTCTAACACACCCCCTAGGCTGACAACACTTCAGCCACATGGCGGTCCAACACCCATGGACGAGAGGAGGCGGTAGTGGTCTTGACGAACAAGAGACTTGGTAAACAAGTCAGCAAGGTTGCAGTCGGAGGCAATGTGTTCTGCCTTCAGCTGCTCGCGCTGCACCAGCTCACGAAGAAAGTAGTGACGGACTTCAATGTGCTTGGTGCGGCCGTGGAAGACGGGGTCCTTGGTGAGATGAATGGTGCTCTCGTTGTCACACCAAAGCGTTGGGGCTGGTTGAGGATACCCAAGTTCTGCCAGCAAGAAGGAGAGCCAACGGGCCTCCTGGGCAGCCATGGTCCCTGCATACAGCTCTGCCTCACAGGTCGACAGTGAGACGGAAGACGACCGAGTGGAGCGCCAACTGACAACCCCACTGCCAAGGGTAAAGCAATACCCTTGGGAAGAGCGCCGATCACTCTGGTCATCAGCATAGGACGAGTCACTGTACCCCTCAAGGCGAACAGGGGAAGAGCCGCCAAGAGTGAGCACATAGTCCTGTGTGCCTTTGAGATAGCGGAGGACCCGCTTGGCGGCAGACCAGTGGTGGCTCGTGAAGCGACCAGGTGCAACGTAGCTAGACAGGACACTGACTGGATAGGCCAAGTCTGGTCGAGTGCACATCATCGTGTACATGAGGGAACCAACGAGCTCGGGGTAAGCCTCATCGCAGGGCTCAGGTGAGGGAACAGAGGGTGCAGTGAGTTGGTGCTGCAGAGAGAGTGGGGTGGGCATTGAAGCTGCTTCCTGCATCTTGAACCTTGTCAGAACGTTGTTGATGTAGAACTTCTGCGAGAGGGTGATGGTGCGGGCCGTGCGATCACGTGTGATTTCCATGCCCAGATAGTTCGTCAGCTTCCCAAGATCCTTCATGGCCAGCTTCTCACCAAGTGCGGCTTTGACTGCTGCCAGCTCAGTCTGATCCTTGGTGACAAGGATCATGTCATCGACATAAACCAAGATGAAGAAGCGGGATGGTGTTGCTCGAATGAAGAGGCTAGGGTCAGAGGTGGATGGGTGAAAGTCGAGGGACCCTAAGGTGCTCTTGAGCTTGTTGTGCCATTCCCGGGGTGCTTGCTTGAGGCCATATACTGGTCGATTCAGCTTCCATACAGTGCCTGGTGGAAAAGGAGTTGGAAATCCTTCGGGCCGGTCCATGTAGATTTCCTCTCGAAGGATCCCTTGCAGAAACGCAGAAGACACATCCATGCAGTCAACCTCCATGTCATCTCGAGCGGCCACATCGAGAAGGGTGCGCAGTGTGGGAGGTTTGGCAGTGGGAGAGAATGTCTCAAAGAAGTCCAGTCCACGCTTTTGGGTAAATCCCTTGGCACAGTACCGGGCTTTGAAGACAGGAAATTCGCCTGGAAGTTGTTTCACCCGGAAAACCCATTTTCCCTTCACAATGTTGACGCCGGAGGGAGGAATGATATCTGTGAAAGTCCCTGTGTGAATGAAGGCCTCACACTCTGCGATAATGGCCCCTATCCACTGAGCGGAGTTAGGACCAGAAACTGCTTCAGCATAGGTGAGAGGTGTGGGGATGGAGGGGTTGTCTGAGAAGTTGAGGGTGGGAGATTCTGCGATATCTGGAAAGAGAGAGCAGAGCGCGTGTATGGCTGAGTCAATGTCAATCAACTCCTCATGTCTGTCCTCAAGAAGGGAGGGCATGAGCGAATAATCACCCCCGACAGGAGGAGGATTGAGAGAGACACGAATGGAAAGGGAAAGAGGCTTGGGAGCTTTGTGCGAGCGGGTGCGACCAGCGATGGGGGAGGGAGGCGGAGCTGGAGGAGGAGAAGCAGGAGGTGTCAGCATCAGGAGCAGCAGCTGAATCGGGAGCAGGAGCCAGATCAGGAGCAGGAGGTGGAGCAGGAGCAGGAGCAGCAGCAGGAGGACGGCGTTGGTAGGTTTTGAGAGGAATGGACTCGGGGGCGGGAAGGAGCGGGGGAGACTGCGTGGTGCTGGATGGGGAAGCGGGTGGCGGGGGGTCGGAAACTGTGGAGGGAGCGGGAAGAGGAGGAGATGGAGTGGTGGCAGGAGGAAGGATGTCAAAGTCAGCCCATGTTAGAGAAAGAGGAGGAGGAGAAGGAGAAACTGTGGAGGAGGGGTGGAATGGGTGGGATTCATCGAAGAAAACATCTCGGCTGCGATAGAGTTTGTTGGTGGTAGGATGGAGGAAGAGGTAGTCTGGTGAGTCCAAGTTGTGCCCGAGGTACACGCACGTGATTGTTTTCGGAGCAAGCTTGCCGCCAGCTGCACGACGGGCTTGGGAGTTGAGGAGGACATAGGAGGTGCACCCCCATACACGAAGAGGGCGGACGGACGGCTTTTGACCCGTCCACAGCTCTGCGGGGGTGGTGTGGGTGTGGTGAGGATGAGGATGGAGATTGTGGAGGACGGCAGCATGGAGCATGGCGTATCCCCAAAGAGAGGGAGGGGCGGAAGCATGAGTGAGGAGGCAGCGAGCAATCTGCACCAGGATGCGGTTTCGGCTTTCAGCAACACCGTTCTGTTGAGGGCTGTCTGGGAGAGTGAAGGTCTGTTGGATACCCTCAGTAGAGCAGAAAGCTTTGAGAGTGTTGTTGCGGAATTCACCGCCGCCGTCAGAGTGAAGAAACTTGATTTTGGTTTTGAAGTGTGAATGAGCCTGCCTGGCCCATTCCATGATGATGGCTGGGGCTTCAGACTTGGCGGTGAGAAGGTGAACAGACACATAGCGGGAATAGTCATCAACGATGACAAGGAAGTAGAAGTGTCCGCCACGGGAACGAACAGGAGCTGGACCCCAAAGGTCCATGTGTACGCGATCGAGAGGTGCGGTAGAGATGGACTCAGTGGGAGGATGGGGCTGTTCCCGAAGCTTGCTCTGTGCACAGTCAAGGCAAGGCGGTCCAGAAAGAGAGGGGGGTTGTGGAAGTGAGGCGGGCAGTTCATGAAGGAGTTGCTTGGTGGCAAGGTCGGAAAGTGCGCGGAAGTTGATGTGGCCGAGGCGGTTATGAAGTAGCATAGTCTTGTCAGTGAGGAGGCGGCAGTGACATGAGGGGGAGTCTGAGGATGGAAGCGGAAGGTTGGTGAGGGAGCATGTTTGAACGGGAGGTACAACTAGTGTGTACAGGTTGTTGGAGTTGAGGGTGAAGCGGGCAAGATGGAGTCCGGTTTTGGCGTCAAACATGTCACAGTAGTCAACATCATTGGGAAAGATGGTGATCACGCCTGCGTGTTGGATTTCCCGCTGTGCAAGAAGGTTGTAGCGGAGGGTTGGGGCACAGATGCCAGTGACGGTGCCAGATGGGAATGCTGGACAGGAAACTGTGGAGGAGCCATGGCATTGGATGGAGAAGCTAGAATCTGCTCCAAGGAGTGAGGTGGGAGCCTGATAGGGAACGAAGGCGGTTTGGTCTTTAAGCACTGTGTGGGTGGCACCACTGTCTAGTATGAACTCGATTCCCTGTGTGGTTGAGACACCGATGTACTGCGACCCCTTCTCATTAATAAGACCAGCACCAGAGAACAACAGGTTAAGGCGAACATCAGATGGGGCGCTAGCAAATGCCTGAGCAGGTTCCTCCACTGCCTCGACCTGGTTCACGCGACGGGGTGGTGCCCAGTTGGGAGGGCGCTTGTCCTTGGAGACACCATGGACGTCATACCACTCGTCATCTCGCTTCTTGAAGCAAGTGGCCTCAGGGTGGTTGGTGCCGTTGCACTTCTGCCCCGCACGTGGACCCTTCCTAATGAGGTACTGGCATGGGGGAAAGGAGTTGCGCCTCTGGCCCTGCTGGGAACGAAATGGAATGCCAGGGGAGTAGCGCACAGCATTGACTGATGCCTGGGCTGCAAGGTCCTTTTCCGCAAAGAGAAGGGCCGAAGCGACTTTCTCGAAGGTGAGTTCCTTGGTGGGGAGCTACTTGAGCATGGAACTGGTGACGTTGTAGGCCGGGGTGAGTCCGACGAGAAGCCCAGCAGCAGGTGCCTGTTCGGGGAAGGTGATCCCAATGTCCTTGAGCTCCTCATGGATGTTGCGGATTTCAGAGATGTAATCTGCCATGCCCGGGCATTCCTCAAGGCGGATTTGGAACATGCGAGGAATGAGGATTGCAACTCCCACGGCAGTCTTGTCATGAAAACGATCCTGGAGGTACTTCCAAATGTCATGCGCAGAGCGGAAGGTGCGGTAGGACTTGACTAACTCAACTGGGGTGGTGGTGATGAAAACCCTAATCACTGCCGCATCCGCCTGCTCCCAGAGACTGAAGTCCGTCTCATACTTGGTGGTCTTAGCATCGAAAGCGCTCTTGGTTGTGGGAGTGGCGCCTTCACCGAGAGGATCGGGAGGGAGAGGCATCTTCCCCTTGCCGCGGTTGAGGAGGATGTCCTTGAGGCAAACCCCTTTGAGCTCCGAGCTAAGGAGGTGCTTCTCCACTCCATAGCACCACTCCCCGAAATTGGTGCTCGTGCCGTTGGGAGCGAGGTTAAGGATGATGAGGTTTCCGACGAGAGTGGAAGTAGAAGTTGCCATTTCGCGCGGAGCGCAGCGCTAAAGTCTCCGATACGTAGCGGAGCGAAGCGGAGCGGGCGATTTTGGAAATTGAGGAAGTCCGAAACGCGATTTCGGCAATAGAATGCCCGTACAAATACCCTGTTATACTGCTTCGCCGATGCCCCCTGTTCTGCTTCGCTGCTGCCCCTGTTCCGCTTCTCTGCTGCGCCGCTGACCTGTTCTGCTGCGCCGCTGACCTGTTCTGCTGCGCCGCTGACCTATTCTGCTGCGCCGCTGAACCTGTTCTGCTGCGCCGCTGACCTGTTCTGCTGCGCCGCTGACCTGTTCTGCTGCGCCGCTGAACCTGTTCTGCTGCGCCGCTGAACCTGTTCTGCTGCGCCGCTGAACCTGTTCTGCTGCGCCGCTGAACCTGTTCTGCTACGCCGCTGAACCTGTTCTGCTGCGCCGCTGAACCTGTTCTGCTGCGCCGCTGAACCTGTTCCGCTGCGCCGCTGGACCTGTTCCGCTGCGCTGCTGAAAACTTGTTCCGCTGCGCCGCTGGACCTGTTCCGCTGCGCTGCTGAAAACCTGTTCCGCTGCGCCGCTGGACCTGTTCCGCTGCGCCGCTGAAAACCTGTTCGAAGTTAAGAAGATGCGAAAATTTCGACGGAGATTAGAAAAAACCAGAGGCTTACGATGAAGGAAGTCGAAAGCTGAAAATGTCGCCGTTGAAAAACGAGAAGCGCGATGAAGGAAGCCGAATGCGCGCTTGAACGGAGCGACGATGTGAAGTTTCTGAAATACGCTAAGCGTAGGAGCCGGGAGCCGAAATAGGCATAGCCTAGAAGGAGACAACCATCGGGACGCCAAGGATCGGATTCCGCGTGAGCGGAATTTACTAGCTCGATACCATGATAGAAATGGAACTTAACTGATTGATTGATAAGGAAGGCACGAGGCCTTAAGTACAAACACGGTTGGGTTGAGCAAAGCTAGGGAAAGGATGGGATGGGAATCCTAGCAAATCTCCAATTGGTGAGTTGGCAGATTTGCAGGATTACGAGGGAATCCCAACCAGATAGGGTTGGGATTACAAATCTACACCCAACCTACAAAGTAACCTAACCGATATAGAATATAGTACAAAGTGTTGACTGACTATTTCTAACACCCTTACCTTCCCCCATCCCCCCCAGCTTCCCCCATCACCCTTACCTTCCCCCATCCCCCCCAGCTCCCCCCATCACCCTTACCTTCCCGGCTTCTCTGCTCACCTGCACGAGAGTTCGAATGTAGGTTGACCCGTCCACAATCCGGTTGTTCACTGTGAAGCTGGCGGGGGAAACGAGAGGCGCATGGGGGATGGAGGCCCGGGGGAGGAGAGGGGAGAGGGCGAGGGGAGGAGGGGTGAAGGAAGAGATGTGGAGATGTGGAGATGTGGAAGGGTAACAGGTCGGGAAGGGGGAGAAGGGCGAGCAGAATGAGGAGAAGTATAGGGAGCGAAAAGAGTTTAAGAGTCAAAAGAGTTTAAGAGTCAAAAGAGTTTAAGAGTCAAGAGAGTTTAAGAGTCAAGGAGGAGAGTGTGCAATGAGAGCTGGTTCAGAGGTCAGAATCAAAAGGGCTGGGGTTCATCTCCAGCAGCTGCTGCAGCACCGACTTCACTCCTTAGCTACACCCCTCTCTTCCCGGGCTTCATGCACTAGGGGCCGAAAGGGCGACTCACTCGTATAGGAAGCTGTACTGGCTCGGATTCATCTCCAGCAGCTGCTGCAGCACCGTCTTCACCGCCTTGAACGTGAAATAGTCCATCAGTTGCTGGTGGGGAGGAGGGGGAGGAGGTGGAGAGGGGAAAGACGTTGATTGGAGGAAAAAGGGGGAGGGGGAAGAGGAAAGAGGTTGATTAGAGGGAGAGCGGGAGGTCACTAGGAAGGCTAGTTTTCACCGCCTTGAACGTGAAATAGTCCATCAGTTGCTGGTGGCGGGGCAGGCACGGGGCGGGAAAGGGTGGGGGAGGGGAAGGGGGGATAAGAGACTGATTGGGGTGGGAGCGGCGGGAAGTCACTAGAAAGGATAGTCCTCACTGCCTTGAGTCCTTGACTGTGAAATAGTTCATCAGTTACTCCCGGTCGGCACGCAGGAGGGGAGGGGAAAAGCGTACGGGGAGGTGGGGAGGGGGCAAGAGGTTGATTCGAGGGAGAGCGGGAGTTGGAAGGATGGTCTTCACTGCCTTGACCGTGAGATAGTTTACCAGTTACTAATGGTGGGCACTGCGGGGGAGGGGGAGGGGGGAAGGGGGAGGAGGAGCGGAGGAGGGGGAGGGGGAAGGTGAGGGGGGCAGAGGGAGGAGAAAGGGGGAACGGGGTAGGGGGGGTTGGGGGGGAGAGAGAACGTGAAGTGGGTCATCAGCTGCTGGGGGCGATGCAGTAGGTGGGGGGTAGAAAGGGGGTTCGAAGGGGGGTAGAAGGGTGGTTGGTCTAAGGGAGAGCGGGGAAAGATACGAGGGTGTGTTATCAGCAGGGAAATCGGCAACCGATGACGAGCGAGAGAACGCGGAGACGAGGACCGAAAACGGCGTGTGTATGGGGGACGGGGGGAAGAGGGGGGGAAGGGAGGGAGGGGGGGAAGTGGAGGGGGGGGGAGAGGGGGGAAGGGGGAGAGTTGGGGGTGAAGGGCGGGAGGGGTGGCGGGAAGTTTGAGCAATTCAGGCTTTTGAATGTCTATTGTGCTTGCTGTTCATCCCCCCCATTACGTTGATCTGTTTCTGTTTCTGTTTTTGCTTCGTTTCTCACCGTTACGTTCCGTCCCCCCTGATCCTCCTGTCTCCACATCCCCCGATCTAATTCTCACCTTTTCCACGTCAGCAAAAGACTCCTCGTCGCTGATCTCCCCCTCGTTCCCCGACGAACCCTGCGCGCGCACCAGCACCCGTTCCGAGCGCCTCCCCAGGCTCTGCTTCCGCCGGCGGTCGCATCCGCGCAACCCACGCGCAAGCGGCGGGTGGTGCGGAAGGAAAGCCGACGATCCTCCGCAACCTACGGCGTTTGCGCTGCCCCCGTGGTGGCTGTCGGCGCGGAGAGTGCCGGCCCGGATGCTTGCGGGGAAGGCGGCGGCAGGCGCAGCGGCGAGCGGGAAAAGGGCGGCGCAAGGAAGCATCTTTCAAGGCGGAACGGCGGAAGGGGAAGACACGAAGGGAGCTCGAAAAGGAAGAAACGAATATGCCAAGCCTCCTCGATCCGCGTATATCAGCTGTGAAACGTGTGCTTCGGTCTGTTCAATAAGGCAATGGCAATGGGTCTGTTCAATAAGGTATTACAGGCGTGCTGCTGTTGACTGCCGTGCCAATGGCAAAGCTACTACTGGCACTAAAGCTACTAATTTTCCTAGATTCTGCCGCGGCGGCCACACTGTTTTGACCGGCCGCAACGAGAATGACCTATTTCAGACACGAGCGGTCTGGCTCTCTAACCGAGCCGCGTCAGACTGCATCTTACGCGCGCGCGACTGCCACGAACGCCGCTTTCCAGGAAGTTGGAAAGGAAATTAATATCCTTTCTATGGGCAGGCACACACGAGAACTGGCGTACGGGAAGTTGGCGAAGGAGCTTGATTAGATTCGATCGGGCAAACCTCTGAGAATGCGGTTCGTGTGCGCGTTCACCGGGCGGAGTGGTACAGTCGCGGCCCGTGTATACACAGTCGCGGCTCGTATAACGTGCAGCTTTGCGCTACGGGCGTTGGGAATGCGCTTGCGCTCAACCCGTGTGAGCAAGTGGCGGCGGCGGCGGAATGGGCGGCAACGAGGTGGGCGGAGTGGGTGGCAAAAAGTACACTGTGTGACGTGTGTCACTGAAGGGAAAGCTCGGAAAGAAAAGGTGTGCAGAGCAGAGTGGAACACGGCGGAATTGTGGTACAGTAATCTTAGGAATGACGAGACGACAGACAGACAGACAGACGGGGGGTTTTCAGGACCCTCTCCATTTTGAACGGGCACACCAAGTTACCTTTATCGCCATGTTCGTGTAACGTTTTCGCGAAGACCTCGCACTGGCAAACACATCGCGAAGCATGGCTCTGGTTGTGCTTTCTGGGAGATGTGGAGTCCATGTTTCGCGGCTTGAATCAACTGCACCCTCGCGCTTCGCAATGAGGGGCACTGACGTGCCATTGGTGACTTCGAAGCGCTGATCTTGGGTCGTGGAGTGAAGCTGATGTGGCCGAAAGGCATTTCTGACGCTGCAAAGGTCCTTCTGGAGACACAACGTCTGACTAGGTGGGTAAGCGCATCTGATTGGAGAAAATGTACGACAGGGTTATGGCTGACGAAGTCGGTAGCCTACTCGTTCGTTCAAAGCGAGCTGGTACGTGGGGAGGAGGTGGCGAAGTGCAGCGACACTGTTTGACATGTCAGCAAGACCTCTTGCAATCTCCACCACACATTTTCATTATAGGATCTGCGTGCACCCAGCTCAAATCCGAGTCCACAGCAGTTCAAGATGAATCTGGTCTGGACAGGTCATATTTGCTCGTTGTTGAAAGGCTCTATGTACTTCAACAACGATAACCTATACACAAGGGTGAAAATTATCTAGAGTGATATACCTATGTTTTGTAATATTCCTTATTATAAATCATTGATTTTGTGATGTGTGCTTTTTTTCAAGGAGGGCTACAAAATAGTATACACAATGCATGGTACTATAAGACAACAACGTGATGATGACAGAATCATTTTCTGTATTTTAAATCGAGTTCCCTCTTATCGCAGGTCAAGCGATTGATCCATTTTGCCACGACAACCTGCAATGCATGTGGCGTGTGACACTGACCTTAGCGCGCTTTGGACGGGCCCATCCGTCCGTCCGTAGATTGGGGTTCATGAGACCTGTCCTCTAATCGCCGTCCATCGGGAAACACTCCGCGGACACCTCCTCACTTTTTGCAAATACAGGCGGGCAAAAGTTTGCCTGTGCCATTTGGTGCTGCATTGCCGCCGGAAAGACGTCCTTCCCCTCCTCCTCTCGCCCCTCACACCTTCCCGCCGCCTCACCCTCCCCTTCGCCCCCTCCCCCACCGCCACTCTTCTACAGCCTCTCCTTTCCGCGCACCCCCACTGCCTCCGCCTTTCCAGAATTCGAGGTCTGCTGAATGTGGAATGACTATGTTTTTCCCTCCCTTGCAAGCACAACCCATTTCACCGCTTTATAAGCATCCTAAAACGTAATATTACGCTAAGCACCTGACAAAACCGAGTAATTCTTGGACTTCCAAATTTATTCCAGCAGCTTTTGGTGACCTGCATCTCCACGCCTTTTCAGGCTGGTTGCTGTTGCATCTCGGCATAGCACTTTTCTTGTCCTGCGCACGTGTTGCAGGAACCGCAGAAACCGCGGAAATCCCTGAGCCTCTTCAAAGATTAGATATTCCTGAGCCTCTTCGTATTTCCGATATTACGAGGTCCCTTCATCGCGTCGTCTGTGCTGCCTCTGACTAACCATGGCGCCGGCACTCCGAGGCGCGGCTGCGCTCTGCTGTCTGCTCGCCGTCCTCGCCGCAAGTCCCGTGCGCGCCTTACCCACGATGGCCGCTTTGCGCGGTGACATCGTGCGCGGTGCTAATATCGAATCAGCTTCTATCGGAGAAAAATCGGATGGTCTTGGCGCGTTTGATGCATCCCCGAGGTTTGTTGAGAAGCCGCTCGATCTTGGATTGGACGCGTACAAGCCGCCGGAGGGAGACCTTCTTCGCGTGAACCGCGCGAAGCTTGGCGAAAGCGTTGGCGAAGGCGAGCCGGACATTCGCCACACGGCTGGTTATTTTCGCCTGAACCGAACACACGACGCTAGGCAAGTGATTCCTTCTTTTCCTCCTCCTCCTCCTTCTCCTTCCTCTTGCCCTTTGCTCCTCGCTCCTCTCGCACCACCCACACCTCCCCCGCCCCCCTCATCCCGGTCCTCTCCCGACTTCCCTTCCCCCTCCCCTCGTTTTTCCCCGCCTCTCCCTCCCCTCCCCCCACCCCTCCTTTTTCGTGTTTACTCTTCCCTTCCGCCGTCAATCCGTCCGACAAAAGTTATTTGTATCCATTTCTTGTCCGTGGTCATTTACTATGTTAGTGCAACCGCATGGACTTTCGTTCTCTCCCCAACTCCGCCCGAGTTCCACCGTGCCGCTCTCCTTGCCTCCCCCCTCCCCCGTTCCCCTCCCTTTTCCGCTCCCGCTCCCCCTCCCCTTTCCGCTCCTCCTCCCCCGCTCCCCCTCCCGCTACCCCGCGCGCGTACTTCCTCTCCCCGCAGGCTGTTCTACTTCTACTTCGAGTCGCGCGGCGACAAGGACACGGCGCCGCTGGTGCTGTGGATGACGGGCGGCCCGGGGTGCAGCAGCGAGATCGCGCTCTTCTTCGAGAACGGCCCCTTCACCATCAACAACGACAACGCGTCGCTCTCGTGGAACCCCTACGGCTGGGACATGGTGCGTGTGCGAAACGTGCACGCGCGAATGTGTGTGCGTGTGCATGTGCGTGTGACATTGTGTGTGAGTACGTGTGTGGGGAATCCGTACGGCTGGGACATGGTGCGTGTGCGAATCTTGCTCGCGCGTCAGCGTGCGCGTGCGTTTGATTGTGTGTGCGTGTGTCGTGGAACCCGTACAGCTGGGACATGGAGCGTGTGCGAAACCCGCGCGCGTGCGTCCCGGAGTGCGCGTGCCCGTGAGAATCTGTGTGCGCGTGCGTTAGTATCGCGCGTGTGCGATGCTCCCATGTGTTGTTGGGGTTGGATTAGAATCTAGCGTGTGCGTGTATGTGAATCCCCAGGGCCTGATGCAATACTTCGCCCTCCCCTCCTCCTCCTGCCTCCCCTTCTCCCTCCCCCGGCCTCCCCCCTTCCCCCTCACCCCGCTGCCTCCTACCCTCCCCCCAGGTGTCCATAATCTACGTGGATCAGCCGGTCAACACGGGCTTCAGCTACAGCAGCGACCCGCTCTTATCTCCGCTCCCCCTGTCCCCCCTGTTCCATGCCCTCCCCCTGGCTTTCCCCCTCCGCTTTCCCCTTCCCCCCCTGCGTGCAGGTGTCCAACATCATCTACGTGGACCAGCCAGTCAACACGGGGTTCAGCTACAGCAGCGACCCGCGGGACATGCGGCACACGGAGAGCGGGGTCAGCCAGGACATGTACGAGTTCCTGCAGGTGCGTCCCTCTCTTCCTCTCTCCGTCCGTCCCCTCGTCTGCTGGTCCTTCCATCCGTCCGCCGGTCCACCCTCCCTTCTCCCGTTCCCCCCTCCCACCTCGGTTTTGCCCTGTTCCGCCCCCCCCCCCCCGGTATTCCCGTACCCTCCCGTTTCCCGCTCCTCACCCTTCCACCCCGCCTCTCCCCCCAACCCTCCCCTCCCCGCCTTCCCCCCTGCCCCTCTCACCAGGAGTTCTTCTTGGCGCATCCGGAGCTGCAGGGGCGCCAGTTCTACATAACGGGCGAGTCGTACGGGGGGCACTACATCCCTGCCGTGGTGGACAGAGTGGTCATCGGCAACCGGCGCAAGGAGGGGCTGCCTATCAACCTCAAGGTGGGTCAGTCGGTGTGTGCAGGTGTGTGCGCGGGTGTGCGCGGGTGTGCGCGGGTGTGTGTGCAGATGTGTACGAGTGCACGCCCGTGTGATGTGAGTGCTTCGCAGAGTGGTCATCGGCATCCGGCGCAAGGAGGGGCTTCCTATCAATCTCAAGGTGGGTCGCTGCGTGTGTGTGTGTGCGCGGGGGTGTGTGCATGAGTGTGTGTATGTCCCTCTGCATGCCTCGAACAATATACCATCGGCAACTGGCGCAAGGAGGGGCTGCCCATCAACCTCAAGGTGGGTCGTTGCTTGTGTGTGTGAGTGTATGTGCGTGTGCTGTGTTGTCATAACGGGCGAGTCGCACGGGGGGCACTACATCCCTGCTGTGGCGGACAGAGTGGTCATCGGCAACCGGTGCAAAGAGGGGCTGCCTATCAACCTCAAGGTGGGTGGGGTCAGCTGCGTGTGTGCATGTGTGTGCGTGTGTGCACGTGTGTGCATGTGTGTGCGTGTGTGTGCGTGTGTGTGCGTGCGTGTGCGTGTCTGTGTCTGTGTCTGTGTCTGTGTCTGTGTCTGTGTCTGTGTCTGTGTCTGTGTCTGTGTCTGTGTCTG